TATCGCGTCGTGGTGGGTCTTCCTATTTCTCACTCCGCCCTATTTTTGGGGGGCTTTGTTTCAAGGTTTACATTGATTCGTTTAGCTTTACACAGTCCTCCGTGTTGAAATCAGCCCACTAGCAGGGAGAACTTCTTAAATTATTATCAGCTCATTTTGAAATACTTTACTTATTTTGTGAACGAATTGTTTAGTTGATTTCTGCAATGAAATCTACTTAAAGGATGTACGAATTTTGCAAGTGATGCAGGCTGGAATGCGACGCGTGGTACCTAATTGCAATTGACAAACAATAAATCTGTAGCTCTGTAGACTGAACGTTTAGGTATATCACAAAGCGGAGACGTCCATGCATCTGCACTCACAGCTCTCCTTTAGATGCACATCTGCATGCAAGTACCGCCGCTTACGTAGGCACAAGGCAACTGAGCATTGGTTCGGCCAACGTTCTCGCGCACGTTGGTGAAAGACTACCATTGAGAATTTTACTTTACTGATATTCGTCTTGACATTCCGTTTGGACCTTTAATGATCCTGCTTCAAAAATTTCGAGTGCTCTTTTGCTGCTTAAATTTCAATAAAAATAACAGAGAACGACCCATCGGCCCAAAAAATTGTGAATAGAATAGTCTGGAATATTTGATGAAGCAAGAATGAAATTAATTTGTGAAAAAATGAAGATTCAAGTTTAAAACACCGAATATTAACTTTCAGACTAACGTCTTAATACATAAGGGGATGCCGTATTCGTCTCTGCATGGGTTTGTAGCGTCCTACGAACGAACGTCTTGCTGGTGACCCAACAAGCTGTAGTATGAGATTTATCTTAGCATTTTGCGAACATATATGTTTTTAATCTCCTAGAATGCATTTTAAAATTGCGATCGCACAACTTTTAGCGCAGTATTTTTATTCTTATTTTAGTTTTTCCCCACCCTGATGGAGAAAGGAAATGATCAGTGCCCAGCTAAGCCCATCGGCTAGAATGACTGCAATTTCTTCAAGAGACTCGTTGGTTTATTTGGTAGGTTTATTTATTTTGTACAGGAAGTTGGGAGTCCCGAAGAAGGCTTCTTGAAGGGATATTGGACGTTGGTCGCGGCTTTCAATATGACTTTGGACATCGGATATTTCTTCCTAAATGACGGATTTCACTACCCGTGACTGACTGCATGAAACATATTTGAAAAAGCTAATTCTTCTGTTTTTAACAATGAGGAGTTATTCGTTATCAATTCCACTATTAAAGAGCGCAGTATATGCAACATATCGAGTTATTCGTCACACATTTTGGCTGCAATGAGCAGCATTACAAATTATTCTTATCGTTGGTTTTCTGCATAGGTTACACTCAATGCAGCGCCTAATATTCATCGTTTTTTGCAGTCAGATCGTGCATTAAAAATTTTTTTCTAACTCAAAAGCACCTATATTCGTTCGTAAAACGCTAACAATTTAATTGGTGAATAAAATTTTCAATTTATAGAAAAATTTGACAAACTGATTCTTCACTATATGTTGTTATTTATTTCTAGTTAAGCACATATATAGTGGCGATTTTTACTCAGTCCAAAATTTCTGTAACATGCCTGATATATTGTTTTAAAATTCAAATTCATTTATTGTCAGTATTATAGCCGAAAGCTTGCTTAAAATCGCACAAACAGAACTTCCCATTTCGGAAATCGGCCCTCAGAGAAGATTTTCTGGTTGTGTATCACTCTATGCTGGATATTTTCTGCATTTATTCAGAAAAATTCATTCCAATTTACGACCACGCAAAAACACCAGAAGATTTTCTTGTCCTTTTTAGCTAATTTTCTCATTTATGAAAAAATGCGCTATTGTGCTCGCCATGTCCGTCTATCTGTCTGTCTGTCCATCCGTGACTTCACGTTTTCGTCGACGAGAAAATGCGCTCTCTGTCACTCACTGCAGTGAGTACTGAGTTATATATATTTTTTAGATCACTAGCCGCATTGTTCGAAATGAACGTGAGGGAGGTTATGGTCCGTTCACCTATTATCACTACCTCTTGTTTCCTATTGCATGGAGTTCCTTTTGTCTGAATTCTTTTATAATAATTCACTCAGCTCACAAAACATCCTCAGTCTCATAAAAGTATACTAGTGAACTATTTCACCTTATTTATTTTCTCGAGTTTATTCCTCTAGTTCTAATTTGCTAGCATCGGATGTTGTTTCTTGTCGCTGCTTCCACAACGCGAAAAGTTTTACACTGGCTGCTGAGTGTTTCTTCAGAAGGACCATCGAGTTGAAGCCAGAAGTTATGAGCCAGCATCACGCACTCCACCGCGGCTTCCACACCATAAAGAACCTGGACCATATCGCCCGCGGAGCCCAATTGCCCATGCAAATTTTCATTATTTTACTTTATTTGAATTACGTTCATAAATGTAGCTATTATATTATATTACATTATATTGTTCTCAAATTATAGGCCTCTTTTCTTCTGTCTTTCAACAATTAATTCTTCTTCTAAACCGCTAAGATCAATGACTTAATTAATCGGGTGCTTGTTATTTCGGGTGCACGGATCTCAAAATTGTGACAGTGCACAAAATACATTTTTGCCGGCTTACTTGTTTTCGTTTTTTCCTTTTGCTTCAAGTTAGCAATGAACTGTCGACTCTGTGGGCTGACAATTTTAGCCTAGTAAATGACGCGGGAAGCCGACTCTGTCACATGTCCCTGACGGTGACAATTAGACAACGCCTTCTATCAGGTAATAGACTGGGGAAACTCTGCCGATATCTGGCAGCTCTGAACTGAAGCGAAGCTTTTGTCTCGCTTTTGTTTGAACTTCGCACATTTGGAGCTTATATTTGCAACTTCTACTTTTTGTGTTCTATTGTTTTTGGTGTTTGTTCGAAATTTAAATTAAGGAAAGTTATTTTTGTTTTTACTGCGCATTGGCCGCTTATTGAGCATTTTTTTCAATTGGACCTCGAATAAAAAATATAAGTAATATACGAATTCAAATATGCACGAGAGATAGACGATTATGATTGCATACGAAATCTTTCTGGATAAATTTTTTTCTCTTTCTTGTAACGTTTGACGTAGAGATCTTCGTGTCAACAAGGGTTGTTCGGCATTCTGGAATTTGAGCATGTGGCTGCCTTGTCGTAAATACCATCTTTAATTCGTACAAACATGAAATTTCTTGCTGGAATTTCGAGCGATGACCTTCGGATTTGGAGGCATGAATGAAGCGTTGTTGATAAATGCCTTCAATAAATGATAAATTATTGCGTAGTTGTCTTATTCGGTTAATGACTTACTGAGTAAGATTAAATACTGAACACAGCTCTGTAAAAAGTTAGAAATTGGCGGTTGCAGAGAAGCGCATGAGAATGGAATAGCTGGATACGGCCCTGACTACAAAAATGTGAGGGACAACGTGACGTGGAAGCGAGAATTTTAGTGCAGGCACTCCGAGGCATGGAAATCCGGCATTTGATATAAAAGGTGCCTGCTAGTACGGAAGTAAGTTGAGGTCGAGTGCGGCATGGCAACATTTGCATGGTCCCAGTCCATTACGAGAATTTCAGCGCTTTGAGTGTGTAAGTAGATGTCTCCAAGAATCTGCTACGTTAGAAGAGTTCCAACTGCAGAGTGCTGACGAATAGGGCGCTTCGGGCGCCTGCAGTGTACATGCAACCGATTCCGTATCACAACCAATTTCGGCTGACAAAAGTAGAGCAACCATGCACGTTCGGTTGAGCAAAGAAGAGCTACGAAATTAGATGTACCAAGGAATTGCACCCACTTTCGGTTAATGTAAGAACATCTATGGTCAAATGCTTCAAAGAAGAACAACCAAGTTCGAATAATCCGAGAAGAAGCAAGTTTGTTCGAGAAATAAAAATGAAATAAGTCCACTGAAATAAATAAAATCGATCTAATTCGATAGTGTGAAAAGAGCAAACAAGTCCAATAAGATGAGAAATGAATTCGGTTCGATTGAGTAGATGATGGCAGCCAAGTACGATAGGCTTCACCACTCTTTGGACCGCAATACGAATAAACAAATTTGTAACTTCTAGTTTTAAATTTTCTGGTAACGAAGGAAAGCGAGTAAATTCTAATGAATTCAAGAATAATGAAATTCTCATTGAATTTCAATATTCTTTACTGAGGATTTTGTTAACTTTCATCGTGCAGTGGAAAAATTACTTCACTTATGACCCATTTTAAGAAGATAATGTCAATACAAACTTTATGAAGCGCCACAAGCCAGTGTCCTCGTACTACTTGCAGAAAAATCCATCACTTATTCACTTTAGCAGATCTATAAAGTGTACACAAGCTGCTGTTTGTTTATTTAGACATCTTTTCGAGTAACTTCTCCAAATAAATAACAAATAAATTGCCTAAACCATTCAAGGTATTTATTTATAAACAATCTTTTTCTCGACGATATTTTAGAACGTGAGTTCCTTTCAAAGGTCACCGATCGATGATTCCAATGTTGTGGTTGCTTTGTTCCTAATACCATTGTGAAGACAGTCAGGCTCCGTAATTGATATAAGTTACTCTACCATGAGCCAAACTTTACTCAAGTTATCCCGAGCTTTCTCCTCCTCCCCTGGCCTTCTTCCTCCCACCAACAACGCTTTATTTGCTCGCCTGACGCATTACTTGCTAAGAGACTTCGGGTCCAGCAAGTCGGCTTGCCGAGAGCTCACACTTCCTAATTCCGAGGATTACGGTCAAAGAATTGACCTCTAGGACTTTGTTTCCAGAGGAAAGAATTTTGTACGCACTCATATCTATATGTTCATTCAAATGCTATAGTAAGGGTGTAGCAATGACTGATTTCTATGTTTAAGAATGAAAATTTAAACGACCTAATTATTCATAAATTTTATAAAAATCGCACATTTTTTAGTCAATAGGTATTCCAAAGCAGTTTTTGCCCTAAAATTATTGTGGTTAAGTCCATGCCCCATGCTTATGCTATTCCGTTGTCCGCAGTGCGCAAGGAGAACGAAGATATCCTACAGAAGTGGCAGGCTGGACCGTCCTCGGACAACGTCTCGACTGTGCCCCCGTCGGACGCTGCGATGGCCCAGAACGGAACTTGGGGCGTCCTGCCCCCAGTTCTGCCCACAGCTGCCGGGCTTATGACCATAAGCTCATCACCTGTGCTAAGTGCTAGAAAAAAGCGTCACTCTGTTTTCAACTCTAACAAATTAATCTTATTGTTGGCTGGCAAAACAATGTCAAAATACCAGTACAAGAGTCGGGGATTTAGGCCCAGAATTGGCCGTGATATAAACTCTGAAAGAAGTGCATTAAACAAAAATGCTAGCAGCGCGAAAGGAACTGTTGTTAATATTCCTTTTGATAAACTCAATGGGATCTATTCACTTCCAAGTAGTAATAATACAGGGTTTAGTGTCTCAAGCCTTTCTTCCAAGCAAAACTCCTCCGTGGCCGTCAGAAAAATGTTGAGCAATTTGAGCGAAATTTCTTATAACAGCTCGGTGTCAAAAACGAATTAAAATTTTCTAATTAAAGATGTTAGCGTTAGTTATAGAGGTGCTCCTCAAAGTGCTGCGTTCATGCATTTTATATTCAATATGATTTCATGTCTTTATTATCAGCAACATTAATTGTATCCGTTTTAGAACGCATAAACTTGCCATGAATGCAATTTCTGTATAGGTAGAAAGTCAAAGCTTTCAATCGAAGCAATTCCACTGTAGTTACTTTAAAAATAGCCTACAATGATTTTTTTATTTAACAATTAACAAATCTTTAAAAAAGAATCATTCCCGATTCCCAGACCAAAGTTCGTAAGATCGCATTACATTGAGTGATAAGTAAACACCTCAGTTTGCGATCCGTAATGAGGGGGCAAAAATGGCAAATTTTTTTTCGTCAAGAAGATATCTTAGTCTGATCATTTCGTGTATACTACAAGTGCCAAGTATGTATGAACCTCTTTTCGAATATTTAGCAAGGAGTTGTTAGTGTTATGGTTACGTTAACAACGAACCATCTTTTGCAGTATAAGTATTATTTGACTTCTCTGTTCTTTGTGGCCACTGTCGGACCAGCTGGTACTCTCAACTCATTAATTTTTAGCATCACAAATAGCCCTCAAAGAACGGGTAATCCAGTTCGTTCTTAATATTCGAGTAAACACAACCGGAAATGTTCCAGTCAATTTTTAGTTTGGTATGGTCATCACCTGTAATATAGTATCAAAAAATTTATTGTTGTTGCCTGTGGGAGTTGTTGCTGCAGACCAATTTCTTAGCAATAAAATAACCATGGGATCACTACCTGGGTGGCATATAATTATAATTTAATACTGTGGTCAGCGTACGCTGTCGAAACTACTCACATTTAACGAAAACTCGTTGTGATTCGTGAAATTGCTTCTATTTTATATTTAGTTCTCGATTTAATGGGCATTTTTCTTAAATGGTCAGTCATGTCATGGATCAGATATACCGAACCTTGTCTTCCATTCTTCCTTTACGTTCGTTTACGAGCCGTTCAATCTGCTATTTTGTGCTGCTGGAAAAGCTTGCAGCATATTTCTTAATTTCAGTCCTTTTCACATATGAAGATAACTTGTAAGTCTGTAACATTTTGCTTCATGAATGCTTTTTGACCAGTCAGTTGCGTTTCCAGAGACATGAGTGTAAACAAGTGCAATTGGTGTAAAAATCGCTGTGACGGCGTTCCACTTCATTCGTGAATCAAATATCCTAGTCGAGATGTCGTTCACGTTCAACAATGTCTCCGCAGAAGATACTTTGACATTTTTTCTTCCTATATGACCTTTCATATTTGTTAGGAATTATTCAATTATTCATTGGGTGATACGGACGCAGGATTTTGTGGAGCACCGTAAGTACATTAGAATACCAAAGTCGATGATCAGGTCCCAACCTTCCAGTATTTTAGCATCGCCTCCGATGTTTAGGCTCCTGTGACTGCAACCGGATTAACACTTGCGCTGCAGTTCTGGGAGCGGTTTCCATTGTTTCTAGTTGTTTAGACGGAGGTAGAATCTCCGCATTGTTACTGTTCTTTCTTTCAATTCCTAGATAGAATGTGTAGTGACTACTTTTTGCAAAGAATTAAAATGAGCACAAGTTTGGGGTGTAACCTAAGTGAGGTCTTTCATTTGACTTCTTAACTGGGCATTCGCTAATTATTTTTCAAGCGCATGGCGCCCCAGTCCCTCTTCAACTTATGTTCCCACACTGAATAATATACAGTATTGTACTGATGTGTACGAAGTTGAGACTTAAAGCCCACTACCAACACTTTCTTTCTTCTCTCAATTCTTCCTTTTTGTTTACTAAATATTCACCGCAGTGCGTGTAGATGACTGGCTCCAGTCGAGGACTGTCGCCGAGCCCTGAAGACAGTAAGGGGCGACTTGCGGGACCGCACTTTGAAGTGAGCGTGTTCAGTACAACCTACCCTCGAGAATCTCGTCTTCCCATTCCCTTGTCATAGAAATTGTGAGAACCTACCTTAAAAGGTGCTTTGTCTTAGTCTTCGAACATTAACAAGAAGAGCTTTATGTAGGCATATTCACCTTGACTATTGAAGATGCCTGTTACGTAGAGGCCAGAGTTCTGGCTGTCTCGTAAGGCAGTTCACTTGGTGAGCTGAACATTTATACCAAAATTAGTTTAAAATGCTTGCATTTGCCAGATTCTTTCGTTGGATTTGATGACAGAATTTAGTTTGGGCTTCTAATCTAACACAATTTTGTTATAGTAACATTAATGATCGTGTTCATTGCATACATAATCTTCGTTAACATGAGAGAGAAGTCATTTTGATTTGATATTTTATTCCCAGATAATACAAATACCAGGCGTCTACCGATGCCTAAAAGATTAGTTAATGTTGTATCCAATTTACGTAGATTTCATGGAATAATTAAGACTGTTATGAAATTTTAGTTCATAAGTGAACGTAAGAAAAACATTTATTCAATCAAAGTGCTCAGGCCTTGGATAATGTCTTTGCTGAAACGTCGCCTCGCCAGCTTTCGTACGGCGAGTCTGGGTGCGTACAAGTTTTCAGAATAATTATTGGAGAAAAGAAGTTCATGCAGAATTATCGGGTTGGCGTTGATTTCTTAATTAGTTCATATGAACCTTATATTAGTGAGAGAACAACGATGAGTAGCTGTACTATTACTAGACATTTTCCATTTCTTCTCTTGTCAAACTTGAGTATTAGCCTTTTATTTTCTTTACGTCCAGGTTTGGTACCACTTTTACCATATTATCTACTGAAAAAATTTATATGTAGATGGTTTCGCTGTTCTTCAGTTTGTAGAAGTGTTGAGGTGCTTTTGTCAAAGTGCATGCATGTTGTAGGCAGGGGATGAAAATGTATCTTTCCTGATATAAGCTGCGTCAATTTCTTCACATATTCTATTATATGACAGCTACACTGACATCTTCTGATCTAAAGTAAAACTCGCATTGAAATTATCAACCAATTGAATACAGTAATACATAGCATCAACAAAATTATTTGTTGCATCATACATTCCTGAATTTTTTTGTGACTATCCTGATTTCTATATTTAAAATTTAGTTTAACTTCTGTTGTCTTCTGAGTGAGTTTCCGTAGTTAATTTAATTTGCTTAAAAAAATCTTTCTTTGAATAGGAAATTGCCGTATGCAATGCCATTGTATTTTTTTATTTATATCGTGTGTCTAGGTTTCCGCTTGTATTGTCTCCTACTATTAGATGAAGAGCCATTTACTCTCGTATCGCTCAGCTACATCATAAATTGGAGGTAAAAGGTTCGTATGATATCGTTAAGCATGTAAACTTATAATTATACATTGACGACAATTCTTAAGGTTTACGGAAACTGTAGCAAGTGGGGAAAGCGAGAACGTGGCTTAGAACTTAGACAATTTATTTGATAAACTTTAATAGACCAAATGAACTATTTGCAGGTCGCGAAGTAAAGCTCAGATAGACTTAAAGTTTTAAACTGTTGGCTTACTGTTGTGAGTTACTCTGTTGATCTATCGAACTTCTATAAACTAAACGTTTTACTTGCATATTCTACTAATTCTAGCTGGATCTAGATTGCCTGCATGTTAGCTGATACTGCGGCCATGTTTTTCACCAGGATGAACTTCTTGCTGCGGCTACAAACAGTCAACTTTCATGGTTGTATGACGAGCGATCTGATTTTATTATATTTTCAGGTTATCAGTTGAGTCATAATGCATTACCGGTGGTTTTTACTAGCAAAATAATTTAGGTATTTGACTACCGCCGCATGAGAAACTTAGCGTTAAATAACTTGTTAAGTTATAATCAAGAAAATGTTTGGTGTGGAGGATATCGTTTTATCACCCGCAGAACACGGTCACTTGAATCGTGAACTCACAGGAGATAAATTCGATGTCTAGAATAATTAAAGAACAAAAATCTGGCAGTTTTAATGATCAAAAGGGATGAAGTTTCATCCATGAGTTCTAAATTTGAGCCGAATGGATTTCATTTTACGGGGCATTCTTATTTGAGTTACGAGTATTTCCAGAATCTTATTCATACAAATTCTTAAATTGAGTAAAATTTTTAAATTGTAATTTTCGAAGATATTTCTCTGTTAAACATTCGACTGCGTGTGTGTAATTTTTTATGCGCTCAAGAAAAGTTTTCTTGAATTGTTCTCCTAAATAGTCAATTGTTACAAACAAAACAGGAGACTGCGAGAGTCGACAAAAGTTAACTGCTTATCTGGGAAGCCAAGTGTTTTTGATTTTTCTGGGAAACAAAAATGTTTGTAAAAGGAATGCTAGACGTATTAAAGTGTCTTCTGAATTTAGAGAGAACATATTCGAGGAAAAAAATTTCAATTGATTGACAGAACTGTCCACATTAATCGATACACGTAATTCATATACGCAGCTCACGTGAATAGTGCGATGTCCCTGATACCAGTCGCCTGTCTAATGAAATATCTGCCTGCATTTAAATCAAATTACAAAGTAATTCCAATAGTCCTTTCCATTTGAGTTACTAATAAATACCAAGCGCTGATGAGAACATTCTTATCACAAATATTTACGTTAACTCTTATCACCTCAGGTGCAGGCAGCTCGGCACGACCTCTGGGGTTGCCTCCTTGTAATACACGATAAATAATTGAAAAACAAAGAAATTCCTATGTACGGTTACCAAATTTTAATTGAAAAATATCCGGAGTCCTGCTCCATCATCAATTAAAAAATTTGATAACGCAAGTAGAAAAAATTCGACAATATCACTCGTACTGTTATGAAATTAACGCTCCATTTAAAACAAAACTACTAAGTTACTACTTTATACATCAGATATCGCCAGAAATTACAGTTGAGGCGTATCGTAACAGACAGAACATTGTCGTCAACTACAGGTTTTATTATTGCTCAAAATTAACAATTATTATTATTATTATTATTAAAATTATACAAGAAAGTATTGGTGAAAATTCTGAAGCGAACTAAAAAATATTCAAAATACTTGGAAGCGAAATTCTTTATTTAACGTATCCGGAAACTAACATTATTTATAATTTTCCTGTCTCTCCAATGTTTGGGGCCGTGGCCTAACTTTTGCTATTGCTTATGAAAAGATTAGTTTTCTATAAAAAAAATTTACATTTCCTTGTGACTTTTTAACTTGTAATGAAAATCGATTTACCACGGAATGGAATGATTTTAAAATAATATATTTCAGTTTATTCTGACAATATTTGTGCCCACTTCCTCTGTGTGTACTAGTTGGTGACTTTGACCTCTTATTTCCGGTTCCATCGTATCGCTCAGCAGTGAATATTATGTTATCTTTCTAAGATATCTGTTTAATTTCGAACGGTAAATACTTAATTCGAGTTAGTGAAGCTCTCTCCTGAAAGACCCAGTTTGTATATTGGATGAAATAATAAATATAAGACACCATCAATGATTTTTTTTACATTTTTTACGTACAGTTATATATCAGTAACCTCCTTGAAAATACAAATAAATTAACTAGAAATTTATATAATCGACTTTTAACCTCAAGTCAAAGATGCCTCTGGAGAACAGTGAAAATGAGTTACAGCATCTGTAAGAGCGATCACCGATGCAAGTCCCTGCCCGATTCCTCGTGGCAGAGCGATCACCGATGCAGGTCCCGGCCCGATTCCTCGTGGCAGAGCGATCACCGATGCAGGTCCCTGCCCGATTCCTCGTGGCAGAGCGATCACCGATGCAAGTCCCGGCACGATTCCTCGTGGCTCTTCTCGCCGCGCCTGAACCGTTCAGTGCATTGAACGGTCAATGACGGAACAAGCTCGTGGAATGGCAAAACCAATTAAAAAATCCAACCCACAAAGAGGTGAAGCAACGTTTCTGTATTATTCCAACCATTGCGTGGAGTGTCTTGAGAGACGAGTGGGGGTGATAGGAGGAACGAGGTCCTCCTATCATTCAAGACCTTGTTGCAGAAATTACGATAGGCTACCCTCTGACGCGTAGAACGTCCAGGTTGATGTCTCGACCTGTTAAGACGAGAATAACCAAAATATTGTCAATAGTATTACGGTGGATAATATTTCCAGCTATCCCCGTCGAGAATAAGATCAGCACGTGAGACATCAGAGTTCCCGTAAATTATTGCTCATATTTTATTAAAAACTCAGAATTTCTCGGAATTGAAATTTGTCCAAAATTATGATGCATGGATCATCTTTGTAACAAACAAAACAGTAAATGTCGCGTACGAAAATAAAACTGTCACTCATTAAAGACATGCCCAACATGGTAAGAAACTATATACACCTTGAAACAAAGATCATATAGAATGTAAGCAAATACCTAACATGTTCAGGTAATTAGCTCTGAGCCTTGAAACAATCTTGAAGTAGGAAGATAATCATCCATTGCTCGAAAAATTATCTTGGAATTTATAAAATTGCGCCAGGGCACTCAGTGGGTGTCCCAGTGGTTAAAGTTCAGAGTACCAAGATTGGCGCAGAGAGGTGCGGGTTCGATACCAGCTCTGTGCGCCAGTTTCTGGTCAGAATCGGCAAGGAGGCCGGACGGTTAAAGCACAGCAGAATTGTAGCAGTGAGTTGTGAGTTCGAGACCACAACAAGCTGTGAATATTCTGCGATGTTAAGAATCAGCGACAGGCCTTTGGCCTAATAAACTCTGAAACCGCTATTATATTATATTATGACATGCAAGCCACCTCTTCACTTCTTTTTAGACGCTGCGTAGGGCAATACAAGAAGGTTAGCTATCGGTGTCTACTGATCTTGTTCAAATTTCTAACTCTTAATGAAAGCTCAAAGACTCAAAGATAATCCAGAAAAATGTACAAAGTATGAAAAATGCAGGATCAGAAACTGTGAAAAATTAAAACAATTCAGCATTAAATCGTAGTAGTTTATGGTCCGTTATAGATAGCTTGTCCGTTGTAAATAAACTTTTCACGGGCCATCTCCCAAACATCCGCCTAAGATGTTTTGGGGTGGTTTTAATGCTAAATGACTTGGACGACTCACTAACGTAGAGGGAATGATGAATAGTGATAAATACAAGGCTATTTTGGAGAGTCATTTGCTTCCTAGTATGACAAGGGACTTTCCTGATGGAGACGGTATTTTTCAGCAGGTTCACGCACCATGCCATACTTCGCGTAAAATGCGCATATTCTTTGAAGAAAGTGGACTGGATATTTTATAATGGCCTGGAAATTCTCCAGACATCAATTCCATTGAAAACTCATGGGCTATAATCAATCAAAGACTCCTGAAAGAAGACTGTTCGACAATGGCAAAGCTAATTAGTGCTGTAATTAGGACCTGGTATCTTAGAATAGAAGAATAGAAGTGTCGGCGTTGAAGACATAGGCCCATGGCCTGTTGCAACTGACGATGTGTTCAACGATGAGCAAGTGACTAAAATGTGTTCAACTTTGGTTGAATCCATGCCAAATTGTGTTCAAATGCTTGTAAAAGCAAAAGGAGGTCATATCTCCTATTAATTATTTCAGATTTTGTCCCACTGACATGTTTTTTTTAAATAAAACTTCAATGTGGCAAATAATTGTGTTATTTCAACCACTGTCCGAACTAATTTGCACAGAACTGTATGACATATCTGATTAGTCAACATTACTTATATACATATATTCCATGGAATATAGACATTTCCTATTAAACTGCAATTAAATAATAGTATATTTAAATTTAATCTCCTTTGAATCCAAATTACATGAAATTAAATTTAATGGAAACGTGTATGCTGTGATACAGTGTCATCCATAAATAATTTCATTTAATCAAGCTATCTGTCGAAATGTGTGTCATTATTTTCCAACTCGATTTATGATTAACGGATGAGGAATTTTCTCGGACACACAAAGGTCGGTCAACAAAAATCGTCTGCATTTATGATGAACAAGTTGGCGACACATTTTTACTCGTTAAAGGTGGTTGTGCCTTGAAAAAAACCTTAAACGTTATTGACTTGTATTTTTTGAAGTTTAATGACGTCTAGATTACTCGTCCGTACCTTTCATCGGATGGTAAGGAAAGAGCTAAGTTACTGTACCCTTGCCGTTGGGGTTCGCAGCAGACGAATGTTTGTATCGGCACCGAGGCACCTCAGGCTCAGTGTCACTCTAGCAGCTGCGTGGTGTCGTGGTGCGCTCTTTTGGCGTTGTTCTAGCTGTCGCCCGTTTTCGTCGACGTTGATAGGCTTTACCAAAATGAGTTCTCCGAAAAGAATTTGCATCATTGGATCAGGAAATTGGTAAGTTACTTATGAAGTATGTTTACAATATTTAGGACCNTTAATGCTATTTGACTTCTGGCTTCCAATTGAATATGAGGTGCTGGGTCAGTAGGTATAGGCTATCCCATTCCCAATGGCAATTTCACTGGCCCAAGGTGCTGTGAGACTCAGTGAGAGTGAGTGTCACAGTGTCAGTCATAGTGGCAAACCACAGATTTTTTAGAATCAGTTCATTTTTAATTTCCTCATTGAGTGATTTACCCAAGATTTAAATCAATTTCTTATGTATGATACTGCTGGTATCCAGGATACTTTACTGGTCTACTTATAGTTATAGGACTTACAAATGAACTTGAGGGAGAGTCTAAAAAACTCTCTGCTTTGCCACTATGGTGTCAGTACAGTATAGCCATATCCCAATGGCAATTCCAATCGCGGCCAGAGTTTCAATTTCATCAGTCTCTTACATAGTGACAAACCAGAGATTTTTTAGAATCAGTTCATTTTTAATTTCCTCATTTACTCTAAGACTTAAACCAATTTGATTTCTTATGTATGATAATGCTGGTACCTGGTATCCATGATACTTTACTGGTCTACATATAGGACTCAAGAATGAACTTGAGGGAGAGTCTAAAAAACTCTCTGCTTTGCCACTATGGGCCACTCTCTTATTGACAATCCCAGATTGAGTGACTCATCACCCATGGAATAGCAAATAGGCTATATCTCTTGATTTCCAGTATGAATTATTATTTAAAAAATAGAAAAGATCTTGGCCTTGAAAACCTGCAATAGCTGTAGCAATCTAGAATTTTGGGCAGAAGTTCAGACCCTTCAAATAACTGTAGCGTCTGTAGGTAGAGGCCTAGGCCCTAGGCCCCTAGAGCCTTAGACTTAGAGGCTATTATTTCATAAGTTATTTTTAGATATTCTACACAATGTGATGTTATTCATGTGTTTATGAAAATAAATTAGGCAAAGGGACAGCCTGGCAGGGGCCAACTTGCCAAGGGCTATAATAATTAGTAAAATATTTGAAATTATCTGTAAGCACAGGTATTTTTGTGTCATTTACAGATTGCTTCTGCCCAATTTTCCAGTTTGTTTTAACAGGATGACTTAACTGTTCTTCTAAAATCCAGCTAACGTTTTTGGATGAAGCAAGTGACCTAGCTGCAAGCTGGATACCTGGATTGATATCATTTTCAGAATTCTAGTGTGCTTGACAAGTTGACATAGTGAGGGCCTTGCGCTTTGCAGTGGTGCTGGCCTGCCAACTGCCAAGTGTCTTAACTCTTTAGTTAAATTCAAATACCATATTCTTGTAGCTTCAAGAGCATACACTTTACAGTTTAGAATTAGGCATAGAAAGTAAGGCTATCTACTTTCCAAGATGTCATTTGTAGAAAATGTTTACTTTTCAAGCTGCAACTAGAGCTTTTCTACCATTTTTAGAGCTGAAAGATTTACTCTAAATGAATCATCTCTTATCAAATTGTCAATAAAACTTTACAATACAGCCACAAGATTTACAATCTGCACAAAATATGTGACTTCAGTTTGGTGGTCTTACTATTTAAATATGGGCAGTTTAACATTGAGTTAGCAATTTGGTAGAGTTGGGATGTGCAGAATTTATTGGTATGGTAGAATTAACTCTGTGAGTTGAAGCACAACTCAAGTAGCCAATGAATTTATGTGGGTTGGAAATAATCATCTGAATAGAAGCTTGAAGTAGAGATATTTTTCATTTAATTTTTTGCGATACATATTTCTATTTTTTGATTCTGTAAAAAGCTGGTATTTCTATCAGTATGCAAAGTGAAGTACCTATAATTGGACATTTCAGTTCATACAATAGGCTAGGATTCATTTTTCATTTTGGTTTTCTTTTTGTCTGCAGGGGCTCAGCCATTGCCAAAATAGTTGGAGGAAATGTTAAGAAGTTGGATCATTTTGAAAATGAAGTTCGCATGTATGTCTTTGAAGAGGAAGTGAATGGACGGAAGCTCACAGAAGTAATAAACACAGACCATGAAAATGTGAAGTATCTGCCAGGTCATAAATTACCTGAAAATGTGGTGAGTTTATTGGCTATCTTCATTCCTTAACTATTTATATCTAGCATTTCAGTCCTGAAGATTGGATGTTGGATATAGATGTTTGAACCTCCTGTTAAATTTAATTATGTATTAACATTACACACAGTATTTCTCATTGTTTCGCACTCAATATCCACTATGAATGCATGCAAACAATGTTAAAATGCTTTGATGATATTTTAATAAGTGCTCTATCAAATTGCTTGATCAAAGAAGACTTATCTCTTCTAACAAAATATTATTCAGCCACTCAGTGTAACCATCATTTGTTATGGTATTTCCCATGAAATCCCCCCTTGCATTGCATCAGTGTTTTATGACTTATCTCAGATGCAGTGTAGAACTCTAGAGGCGTATTAAATTAACCTATACACATAGCATGTTGGAAAGGCCATCACACAAACCAATCACAGGCTGGAGGGGATGACTTCACAATCCCACTACCAATCACAGTCTGGAGAGGATGACCTCACAATCTCACCAACCTATCACAGCCTGTATAAGATGACATTACAACCTATCACTGTCTGGAGATGGATATGCATCTGCCCAAAAATGACGAACTTTATAGAGTATCGAACTTTATAGAGTATCGCAGAATTCAATGGATTTCAGCTTCTCTGTATTGTGAAGTGTTACAAGCTCCTATCAAGGAGCTTAAAAAGAGGCTGATTGCTGCAATAATTATTAGGATGGATTTATTAGTTTTCATGTTTCATAGCTGGTTTATTTATAACCGCATATCAACTTTGTCTGGATTTATGTTTGGCCTTGTGTAATCTTACTATAAAGCTTGTTCTCACATCTATGTGTGCTTCATGCTTATGATATGCAAGACCTAGTTCGTGCAGTGCTCAGTGTGCCGTTTTGTATGCAGTGCGTGGAATGCTTCTCTTCCTTAATCCTAAGCGTGCATTTGCATCAAAAAATACTATCTTTGGATCACTGTGTACGTCATGCCATTACCTGTGCTGTTGCGTAGTGTACATCAGAGATTGGGTGATCTTGCATGCACCACTTATAGTGAATAGATACTCAGACGCTTCACTGTCATGGACCCATGGCTCCACAACCGCGCTGTTATGAGGAGCGGATCTGTTACTGTCAGATGCGACGATCCCTCGTGGCCTGGGACTGCTATGCCCGAAACATATACTAAGGATGTTAACCTCAACAGCTAAAGCATTCATAAGGACAGTGTTATCTTTTACGATGAAGCTTTTAACCGCGTGTGCCATAGCTTTGCATGCTGTAAAATGTTTTAATTATACAGCTTTTCGATCGTGAAGTGTTACTTTAGATTCATTGATTCAAGCATACCTTTTATGTTCCAAAAATTATTCCTTCTTGCACAATAATTTCGAAAACGGCCGAAAAAAGGCCACCAATCTCGCAGATAGTTTTGCTCGCTTCGACACATTCTTTTGAACAATTATGATCGTGTCCTCTTCGTTTGGTTAAAAAAAAAAACAAAAGCTATGAAAGAATGTATACAGTATATTGTTTCTGGAATCGGGTAGCAACTTTTTTTTGTGCAACTTGCGATAGCCACCTGTAGGTAGAGGAAACAGCTCGAAAATTGAAGACGTAGGGACTGTGTTCCCTGACTGATGACAGTGGCCGAACTATAGACGTTGTTGCTTATTTATTTACGAGATAATTTTGAAAGGCGTAAAATTTAAGTTTCTGTCGTGCTTGATGAAGAGCGTGTTTCAAATTTCCGTAGTGATGCATTCTGATTTTCACTTACTCGTTTCTTGACTCCTTCAATGACAAATATAGTCTTTTTTATTCTGGCTTCTGTAGCGTGTGAAGTGAGCGTGAGTAGCGTGAAGTAGCGTGTGCATCACGTTCTCTAGCAAACAGAAATCGTTCGTAGAATGTGAAGTGACCACCTTCTTTGAGTTTGAGGTCGCGATTTCAGGACCTGTCGTAATCGAAAGAACAAATTTTGTAGGCCTGTCTTGCCATCGGAGATTTAGTGGTATAAATACCACTAAATCACAATCGAATCTAATCTTCACTTTTCCTCAGCCCCACTAAAGCTTTATCTTGTCTCTTCAAACGGCAAAATACACTTCAAAAGATTAAGAGGCATGCGAGGTCGCTCTTAACTTCTCAAGAAAGGTACCTTGCACATTCGTTCATAAGTAATATGTAGTTTACTCGTTAGTCATTTCCATGCAAACTTCCAACTTTCTCAATTGAGCTACCTTAGTGCATCTCGCACAATGTATTAAATAGAAAAGCGTTGTTCTGATGATGCACAAGTGTGTACTGATCTTATGGTGAATTTTTGGCAAGTAGACTACGAGCGGTCGCGAGCAGATCGCGTGCAATGTCAGGCCGCGATGTCGGAGCCAATGCTGCGTACTTGCTGCATAGTGCATAGCGTTCAACTCATAATAATTTTATTTACGTTGAGCACCAAGGGCAAAGCTCAACGTTCCCGAAGTAAGAGCACTAATATTTTCGGGGAATGAAACAGGCTGAAGATTTTTTGCGAAAGTATTAATGAGGTCGTCATGTAGGAAAACGTTACCTAAATAAATATTTTTGCTTCGACATTACCACAACAAGTAAACACAAGTAAATTAGTTCAGTGATAGAAAATTCAATGAACAATCATTGAGACCTGATGAACAGATGAAAAACTGTCGCTGTAAATACTGTTACTAGGCTACTATGGTTGAACTCGTCGATGAACGAAGGTTTGGGGCAGATGCCAATGCATGCCGTGACTCTACACTTCACCTGCTTGAGAATCCCGATAAACGCAGAGCAGATAATGCCTCATTACAGGGACGAAATATTTAAGTTCCACTCACCTGGGAATGAGAATTTTCGTCAAAAGCGTAGCTGATAAGAGCAATCGAAAAAATGGAAAATATGAATCTTTCCAATCAACTGGCAAAATGATTGTTCGACAAACCTAGCGTTATCGAGTGAGTTTTCTTTACACATTTGAGAAATAGCCAGTTTGGTAGTGAATTTTAGGCCATAAACTAAGACGATATGGAACATTCAAGGGGTTCCCCTTATTCCATTTCCCAAGACTGGGTTCCCCTGTCGTCTGTTCATAACTCTTTCCGTAACCTTGAGAGATTGCAATCAGCAACTAGTATTCACGATTAGATTGAGCAAAACATCAGAAAAACTATTTCGTCTATTAAATATAAATACTACATAAAAACTTTGAAATCGAGTGCAAGCATTGAATGTAAGTGTAAGCGCATGAAACAAAGATGCATGGTCAGGAAAATTCTTGTCCATCTAGACATCTAGTTGTGCAACAACGTATGTCGCCAACTATTTTTCATTTATAAGCTCTCATGTATCTCTTATTTATTTCGCCTAAGTTTCTGCTATTTTGTCGAAAAATATCGAAAGTTTCGAATATTTTTTGTTTTATTCATATTCTGTTTCAAATAATTAAAACGATGCCAAACATTTTTTATAATTTCTTCGGACGTATCATGTTTTGTGAGATCTGCGTATACCAGTGACGCAATTCATGTTTTTCTTGGGTATAATTTTTTTTGTAATCCTTACGGTGTCTATTTGAATGCCACGCTGTTGTCACATCAGTAACAATATACTTGAATTTTTCCTCCTACGGTGGCCGAGCACGGCTGTGCCTGAACCACTTGATAAGGCAGATACCGATACGCGATCTTCACTCAAAGAAGAAGAAAATCTTAAAAATAACTCGTTTTTTTTTTTTTGGTGCTCACTTTTTTGCTCTATTGGTGACTCGAAGTCATCAATATGACAATTCTTGCGTGGATTAATGAGTTCTAATTTACAGTATTCCTGAAGCGAGAAAAAATTCTAAATTTAGCTAAGCTTTATAGTTTATGTAACGAATTTCCCAGTGTCCCTGAGCATTACAAGTTAGCCGTGTTCGCAATCCTTCTTGTTTTATAGATAAAACTTTCTTGTATATAAGTTGCCGTGTTTGCAATCCTTCTTAGTCGCTATCAGGAGGTACCTACCAGCTTGGATATCTTTCAAAAGTTTATCATAACACAGTCACCACTTGTTCATCCACGCGTCATTTGGAATCACTTCTATTCATTGCATTGGATCTATATACATGGGGAGTTCATTGATCTGGCGCCTCTTTGTTAGTCTTCAATGACTGAAGGATATTGAGCGAGCAATTGCTTGGTTCCAGTCATTTTTTGTATTCTTCTGTCTTAGAGAAATGAAGTTTGTCAGTTCGTATGCGATATACGGTAGGTACTTGAGTTGAGTTTAGTCGAGTTGTTATGCAAATCACAATCACAAGATTGTCATTATTATTGTCGGTTTATGTCTCTAAGATGCTTGTATATTCATTCTAACACTATGAAGGTTAATTTTTGAGAACACGGTAGTAATGGATGGATATTATTATTATTATTTTAATTTCAATTGACATTTTTCAGCCTGCGCTATTTGCATGCGTCACTTCTCTGTCAGTTAGTAAATACGACGTTTTCCTGCGCATGGGATAACCCTTTCTTGCTTCGTTCGTGCGGCATCAATGGGCTTCCTCCTCCGCTACTTTTCAAATGAAACAGGTTCTGGCTCCCGACCGCGGTCATGCCTGGCAAGTGTTCACCAAGTGTCTGCTTACCTCTCCATTATCTAGGCCTCAACGTGTTGATCTTTGTCACGTTTCCAGTTCCTGCCAACTTTGTTCTTATAGTAGACCTAGGTTTTGAATAATCAAAGAATTCCTTTACAGATTTATATAATATATGCTTTCTTAGTATCCTTAGTATTTGTTTGGGACACAGCAGTCGTAGGCCACGATGGATCGCCGGGTATTGGGATTGGGATTGAGGTGGATCAGGATTGAGGTATTCAAACCGATGTAACTGACCTTAAAATTTTAATCTAAATTGAAATGTTTGTTCAAGATCATAATAAAGATGCTTCACGTGTAATAGTTGATATATTGCGTGAGGAGATAACTTGAATACCTACTTCTTGGATCAGCATAATACTAAATCTCGAATCGCATTCGTGTTCATTATTCCCCTGTTTATCCTGATTTTTTTGCGATTCAGTTCCATGGATACTAATTAAATAATTACAATTAATAAACGTGTCGTATAGTACAAATGCGTAAAATTTAGTTTGGAATGTTGTGACTATCATTAAAATGTCTCGGTATGGCGCCATTAGGCTGGCTCCTTATTTGGCTGGCCTTGGACCTTGATAACCCTAGCATCCTCCTTCACTGCGCATCACCGCAGCAAACAGTTATTTTGCCCGGGATTTCCTTATTCGGTGACTCGGCTTATCTTTCTAATCACGTAGCTTATTTCTAATCAGTACTGTTTAATTTTTATAGTGGCTTCAACAAGTCTAAGAAGCTTAGTATTTGGTGTCTAAAATGATTATGTAACTATGAAGTCGTGCTGCTAAAGCATTAGAACTAAACATTTTTCGACGAATATCTGAGAAGATGTGGTCACGCCCACGATGTGTAATTCTGTCACCGAAATGAATATCTAAATAGTTGGACCAATGTATCAGCTGATAACAACCTGTATTGGTCCTAAGTGAAGTGCCACAGATTGCGCTCCTTGTGGCTGCGTTGTTTGTTGACGCTTAGCAAATGTGCGCAGCAACTCTTCTCTCTGTGGGAGTATAGACTCTATGTGGACCCGGGACGAAATATTTGTCCATCTAAGTGTCGTCCAACAGGAGCAATCCCCGTGGCAGTGAGTGTTGGCGACGCATCGTATGTCGGAAATATTTTTCAATCGAAAAGTAAAATCGTATGACCGCGTCGCATCGTATGAACGTACATCGCATGACCGCGTCACATCGGATCACATACGTATACACAGCACAGCCTCATACGCTGCTGGAGGCCTCGCATGGACAAGCTTGTGATGCAATCTTCTCGGATCACGACCAACTTCAATCAATTCTCTTTTCAGCGTACACACAATTTCAACACAAATTCCAAAAAATTCAATAAATAATTAACTATGAAATTTTTCCTACGTCGGAATATTGGCGTTTCAAATTTAATCGAGTGTTAACGAGTTTCTAAGTTCCTTTGTTATCAAAAGTCACATGCAAAAGTGTAATGGTTTGTTTCGATATTTCACTTGGATTCCAAAACAAAGTTTACGACTTCTAATGTGATTAAATTCCTTTGCATTCAATATTTTCATTTGTAGCTATCAGCGGAATTGCAGCGTCATGCAGCGGCATGTATAAAATTCACATTCCACGCGTAATAAGATTTTTCGCGAAGTAAGCAAGTCGGCGCACATGAAGGAGAACGCATACTTTCTAATTCACCGAAGCAAAAATATTTATAATATGCTGACATAGCAGAACTCTTACTTGCTGACTTGGCTCTTGGTGAGACGAGATGTATGATGTGAGTGATGTATGACACTGTTTTCTTATTGTGTATGAGACACTGTGATGTATGGGACGCTGTGATGTATGAGACACTGTGATGTACGAGACATTGTGATGTATGAGACACTGTGATGTATGAGACATTGCAATGTATGAGACACTGTATTCTTATTGTGTAAGAGACACTTTGATGTGCTCCCTGCATCACAAAATATACAACTTATTGAAGATCGGGTGACATTACACTTTTTTTCGTCCTACCTCATCTACACGAGTGTCGGGAACACAAATTTGCTCATCATATCCATGTATAGTTTTATGTTGAAGTTGTTGCTCACGAGACATGGTTCAGAGACTGTTGCTGCTCAGGTGGCCGTCCCCGACGTGGTGGACACAGCTGCTGACGCCGACATTCTGCTGTTCGTGCTGCCCCATCAGTTCATCAAGACCATCTGTCGCCCCCTCGTAGGCACGCTAAAGCCTAATGCTGTGGGGGTTTCCCTCATCAAGGTAGCGTCTGCGAGATAATGCCTAAGACAAACTTGGTTAATTTACTTATTCATTTCATCTTTAGCTTGTTTTCAAAACCGTCCATCAGTTTGTTATGATGGTAATAATTTTCATCATAATGAAGAATAGCAAATATGAGTAAAGGTGATGTATTCTAGATGCTGAAAGTGGTAATGTTGCAGGGTTTTGACTCTGCGCCGGGTGGAGGCATTGAACTCATTTCTCGCGTGATCGGCAATCTGCTCAACATCCCCATGTCGGTGCTCATGGGCGCTAACCTTGCCAAAGAAGTTGCTGATGAGAAGTTCTGTGAGACAACTATAGGTGAGATAAACTTTCTTCTATATATTATTATTTGTGATGATCACGTCGGTTAGGACAAGTTATGCTTATAATGGTATACAAACCATGACTGAGCACGGCAGTGTGAGAAACCTTTCAATACTCGCTCAAAATTCTTGTTGTCTATAGAATTTTTTTGTGCTGCTTTTAGTCATGTGAGGACAAAAATAAAACATTATTCGTTCCTTTAATGTATTCAGTTATACGCTCCGTTGAATCTTTTCAATTTACTGTGTAGAAAAATTTCTCAGTGTATATGTTGATTAAATAGGAGTTATGTTTAATATGTTGGTTAAGCAGAAGTTATGACTAATATGTTGGTTAAGCAGAAGTTATGACTAATATGTTGGTTAAGCAGAAGTTATGACTAATATGTTGGTTAAGCAGGAGTTATGACTAATATGTTGGCTAAGCAGGAGTTATGACTAATATGTTGGTTAAGCAGGAGTTTGTTGTTGCAGGCTGCCGGGACCGCGAGCTGGCCAGGGACCTGCGCGAGGTGTTCCAGACGCATTACTTCAGAGTCGTCGTCGTGGACGATGTCGAGGCCGTCGAAGTTTGCGGGGCGCTCAAGGTGGCATCTCCTGCACTGTTTTCATTTCTTCCTCCGGGAAAATAATCGTATTTGTCATCTTAGAGAGCAAAAGTTACATTTCATTTCATTATTTTCCTTTGACAGAGAAAAAATCACTCTACGCACTGAATAAAAGGTACTTTCTTCTTACTATCTTCAAAGTGGCGTGAATAAAATCCCGTTTCTGTTTGTGAGACGAAGATGAATCTTTATCTCGGTATGAAATAACGTTTTCATCCTCAAAATCGAAAATTAAATGCTTCTCTCTTATGAAAAATAATATTATTTATTATATTATTTGCGGTGATCAAGACACCAAGATAAACTGCGTTTTGGGCTTGGTTTGGGCAACGAGTTTTTTGGCCTGATCCGACAAGTTACTGATTCTCGCACAAAACTCAGCTGACGACCGGCTTTGGAGACGAAATGACCGGGAAATGCTTCCGTGCTAATAAATTGATGCTGGATAATGTAGACATTGTTATACAAATAATGAAATAAAATTAATATGGAAGCATTTCCTAATACGTACATTTTTTGAATGCAGTATGAATTAATAGCGATCAGTTCCAGTCTCTTCGTCATGGTTTAAATGCATGTTAGTGACGACTACATGGCAGATGCTTATTAGAATGGAATATATCTTTTCCTAAAGCTAGCAAGTAATCATTTGATCATGTTGAGCGTTCATCGGTGTTTTTTAGAACGTGGAACCTATATAAGATTACCTGACACGTTCTTGTTTTAATGCGCACGTCTTTTTCAGAATATCGTGGCCACGGGCGCAGGGTTCGTGGACGGTTTGGGCTACGGCGACAACACCAAAGCCGCCATCATCAGACTCGGCATGATGGAGATTATCAAGTTCTGTGAGGTGACTGTTTAACTTCGTCAACTAGCCCGTGTCTTTTTGTTCTGGCATTGATAAAATTTGTCTTCAATTATGTTGTTCACAGAATTACTTTCGTGACGCGATCAGTAACAAGCTTATACTAAACTTGATGAATTTTTCCTTTGCAATTATTAGTTCACTCCAATTTACGAAGTGTATCTATATAAGAAAGTATCGTTTTGAATCTGAAAACAGATGTGCAATGACATATCAATGATTTATTTTAACATCAAAATTGTACTTTATTCTGTTATTTTTTAACATCTCAAGCACTGTAACAACAGTTTTGACTTCATTCTTTGAAGCCGCAGTCCGCTCAGGTCTGCGATATTTACAAAGAATATTTTACTTATTATTAGGTGTTTCTTTTACAACAGAAACATTGGGTAGTCGCAGGCCGCAAGTTCTGGGCTGTACTGAGGATGAGCGAATGTTTTCCATTAGTCACATGCAGACGAGCGTTGTCTTGCCGCAAAACTGTGCATTTGCTCAACCTTTCCTTCACTCATAATGTTTTGTCCCTAAACTACTCAGATCTCGCGATGGACTATCTATGGATATCTTATATCTATCAAAGAAATTTTATAACAGCCCGTATTTCAATGTCGGTGGCCGTCAAGATTATCTGAAGCATAGTAAAAGCTCAGTAAACAGGATGAATAATGAAGAACACAACTGTTAATTGCGTCAGTGCAAAGGAAAGAAGTGTAGGTACCCAGTGCGCATGCGCAGATCGCAGCACTGCGCCCGCATTGTGGCTAAACGGCATCTTGTTGAAAAACAATTCAAATATCGGATGCCTCTTTGGTCCCATGTTTTAATCTTTATTAAGTAGCACTAGCGCAAACGATTTATCTAATCAAAAAAATATTCCCAGAAAATCCATGTCAGGTTTTCATCAGAAATCTTTACATTTTTTCGCAAGAATGACAATGATTGGCTACATACATCTTCTTAATCCAAAATGATTATAAATCAATTTGTTTTTGTTTCTAAATTTAGTGGAACTTCGTTTTCATTGACTGTTTATTGCAGGTGTTTTATTCTGGATCACAACTTGGAACTTTCTTCGAAAGTTGTGGCATTGCAGACCTCATCACGACTTGCTATGGCGGCAGGAACAGAAAGGTCGCCGAGGCTTTCGTTTCTTCAGGAAAGGTAGGAGTCTACGAAGGCTAATTTTATGCGGGAAGAACAAACCTTCATTCCTACTTATTAAATTAAAATACCATTATGTATTAGCGTAGAATTAGCTGCCGTGTTAATATTTCTGTAAGCTTAGCCTGCATTATGAATCTTTAGCTTTCAGCTTAAAACCTACAGTCAAAGAATAAATTTACTTGAGAATCATACCCCGATGTGTGTGTCAAAATATGTTCCTCAACTTTCCTGTGCGCATTAGTGATGAATATCAGCAAATTGACGTGTCAATTTAACATGCTAATAATCTACATGCTAATTTTGCTTCAAATCTTCCTCTTCAAATTTCAGACAATTGAAGAGCTCGAAAAGGAGATGCTTAATGGGCAAAAATTGCAAGGGCCACAAACGGCTGCGGAAGTCAATTTTATGCTGAAATCACAGAAAATGGAGGACAGGTATTCTTAGTTTTACTATATTGGAGGCATTTGCACATCGTTATGTTACTGTCTCCAAAACTTTCATCATTGTGCCATTTTTCTGCATCATTACTCGTTATATTCAATTTGAATTTATAACGGGTTTATTCAAGATAACGTAGAAAATCTATAGTCAGATAAATCAGTCATCATCTGACCAGATCTTCATACCTAGAACCAAATGTGTATGATTTATTAACATATCGCATAGAGTGTAACTTTTCTGAGTTATTGTTGACTCGTTGGTTTGTTCCTTAGATTTCCGTTGTTCACTGCCATCGACCGGATCTGTAAAGGGGAAATGGGACCTGACCAGATGATTGAATGTATACGCAACCATCCCGAACACATGTAAGTGCCATATTTATTTTATTACTCGGACAATCTTATTAGTGCTTTTTTATTATCACCGTCAGTATTCAGTTAATTATCAAGTTTTTAATACGTTATGGTGGTAAACATTAGGAGAACTATTGGTAACGTCGACGATCTTTTAGGCAGGTTGAGTCTTTGGTGCTCACGGAAGTTTTATCGGGCGAGTCGAGTGTTTAACCCTCTACCGCCGTATGTCATTCTCCGGGAACATAACTCTTAACTTGAATTATACGTAAACTATTGTGTGTAACAACCTGAGGACGTGTGTACGCAACAAAGAACATTTTAAAGTTGTCGTACGTGGCGACAACTATCAGTGCAAGTCATTTTGCGCTCACTAGAACGTATCCTTTTCGGGAAGTAGGCTTGTGACAATATTGCTCCGGTTACTCATGTCAGTCGGTAGAGGGTTAAATTGAATTATTTTCATGCATTGAGTATGGTTTGTGACATCATTATTGTTCTGAAGTAACTTCTTATTTTCCTGATGGTGTTGCCAATGCCGTGTTGCCTTGCTTCCCGTGTGTCGTGCGTGAGCGTCGCCTTTGGGTGCTTTATCGTCCATCGCTGTACACGTACTCTTCATCCTTTGCTGTTCCAATTATACAGCTGTCTACTGCGTAATCTTCATCTTTAATATATATCATCCGCTCTAATAATTTAAAATTCTTGTGTTTGTCTTAATGAAAATTATACAAAAGGGTTAGCTTGAGCACTCAAGGGATTGTGTCCCGATCATATATTGAAGTTAGTTGCAAACTATCGCTTGTTCTGGGTGTATGTTTTCGTTGATTATCCCAACATGTACCATACTTTATCTTGTCTTTACTCAATTCTCTAAGTCTAAAGGTTGAGCGGAAATGAGTCTTAAGTAAAATCTATCATTAAGCAAATTTTATGAACCACGATATTTTAAAAAAGTTTTATTGTAATTGATCTTTTTGGGGCACTTTAATTACAGGATTTTCTCTCAATAGATTTAAATTTTTTTTCTTTCCCCGTTGAGCCGAAAAAAATCCTCGTTTTTTACAGCAGAAAATCCCATAATAACTGACAGCATCTTCATATTGCAGGTACTCTATTGCAAGTATGACCCTGGTAATCTAAAGGCTTTCGACGTGCCTTGGATTACTCGCACATTGAATTCAATTTTCTTGAACTGCGAGTTGAATCTAAATTCATTAATATAAAAGGCGTTTATGATTGAACACTCATAATAATAAAATTTTGTAGAAAATGATTCTCTGTGACGAGTAATATGAGGCAAAAGTTTGATTTAGCTATAATATAGTTTCACTCAGTGACATCTTGGTTCCTTCTTCTTTTAGGATACCAAACTGCTTTAAATACACGGCCACATCCTAGAGAATTTCGCTCCTGGGCTGGACTGCCTCGATGGTATGTCGTCTTTTTCTTCTCTTCTCCTCCTGCTTATCTGGCTTATCGTTGTTGCTTTTGGTTACCTGATCCTGGCAAGCGCTAACGGACCTTTGCTCTGCGGCCCAGCTTACTGAGATGCTCGTACCTGCGCTCCTGTCAGTCTGTACGGCTTGACGTTCCGTAGCATTCCAGAATTATTAATTCATTACGAAAAATTAATTTAAGTACGGTGGTGTACCTATTAGTTACCTATCTAAGTTGTATGTTCAGGGGCCATGCTTTCAAAACTCGCTAAGTGAACATAAGTACTTACGCTCTATTTTCTTGTCTATGATTGGTGGATTTTGCTTGAAAGGCCGTCAATGATTGGCTGATGAACTTACGATCTCTTAACTTTTTTTGAAAGTATAGGGCCAGGTACATAAAAAAATTAGATTGAAATCAGATCGTTCTGACTCAACATCGTATAATAGGTAGAGCTCTTATTTGTTGAATGAGGTGGCACGGAGACGAGCGACCGTGAGAGCAGTTCAGTCCGGAGCGGAACCAGCGATGCTTAATCAACGCTACTCAATTCTTCTGATTGCATCCTCACCAGTTTTGAGACCATCTTGTTGTTTTCACGCAATAAATTGCATGGACTGTGCGTTTCGGAACCTTTTCCCTCCTTTTCTTCCACTCGTGCTGATATTTTAATGAAGCGCGCTTTCCTCCTGAAGAGGACCAAACTTGAGCTGATTTAAATTTCTTAGATGATTTCGAGTCTTATCCGATCTATCTACTGGTAGATAAATCTGCCTGGTTACCCGGCAAGGCTTAACACACTTCTTTGGTTGAACGGGCGTTCCAAGCTATCTGATTATTTGAGTTCGTTACACATTTCGGGGCTTCATCATATATAATTGCATGTTTTTTGCCCTGAAATCCTCAGTTCATCCATCTAGAAGTTGGATTGTTATAGACATGAAAATGCCCAAAGTTATTGATGTTTTATTCATTTTTCTTTTCCATTTTCAAGTTCCGGGTTCTAGCCCTCTAATTTGTTCAGTCCTCGGCTGCTCTCATTATTCAACTCCAGATCCCCATTTCTACTATAATTTTCGTCACGGTGCAGCTGTGCATCCTTGAATCTTTTGGTTACACTTGGCAGGTAATGCATGATTTTTATGGGTTTAAGTTGACACGCGGTAGAAAATGGTTTCATTGTAACTTTACCCTGTTAACGCGCTGTTGGTTTTTAGACACTTGGAATTTGGTGCGAATTTTAACGGACTTTAGTTATTTGTTGCTTTTACATTTTTTTTTTTTTTTGATTTCTTGAAGCTTAATAAGTAGCCTTGGTCGCATTGTTTACAACTGTAAAATTAGCCATCCCTGCTTAGCTTTGCTTCAATTCTTTCTAGTAATGACTTGCGCTCTGCAATCAATTACGTTCATTATATCTCACGATCTTCCCTTCATGCTTCGAAGATGTTTGACGTCCAAACTTTAGTGAAGACTTGAAACATTTGCTGAAGGGTGAGTATTCAACTTTCTAACAACTCCAACATGTCAGCTTAGCATTTTATTTTCTTGCATAGAAATTTCAGTCGTTAGCTTTTCCTTAGTGAAGGAATTTACGAATCTGTTGGTTTGAGAGCGGAGTTGAAGACGTGTCTGCATCTAATTCCTGAACCTGACGGGACTTGTTTTTTTTTTCTTAAATTTTGCTGTAGATGCAAGTATTGTCATCATTAGTGTCCTAGTTTTCATTTTCTTTAAAATAGCTAGAATTAAGTTTTTCGTAGCGTAACGGTTTCCTCTACCACTGTCGCAGAGGTCATCGTAATGATTATTTTGCTAATCTATCGTCATTAAGATGCCGTAAAACAGTATATTTGCAATAAATTTCTTTCATGTGATCATTACCCGTATTAATTGATCAACATTTTGTTTGAAGCTTGAAATCTTTGTTTACAGCTGCAACTTTGACATCAAACATGTCAAAATCTCTGGGGTGAATTAAGATCTGGCGTCAGGCGGGGCAGCTGCAGGAGCTTCTCTCAGAGGCAGGACCGTTCGACGCACAACTGCTCACGAGACCACAACCTGCAGTTACTTTTTTCTTCGCACAAGCGGCTTTTGTGCCTGAGCGTAACGAGAGAACTAGGGATTCAAGAAATGGTCATTATTTACCATTAATTATAATGAAGTCACTCCACTGCCGGTAGCTGTTAACAATGAGCAATGAATATTGTTATGTAATTAGCATTTATTGGTGCTAGAAAGTTTCGTCGCTTTACTTGGAGAGTCCTCAGTACGAAGTGCAATGTTTAATGTATCTTGTTGAATGGTCTTGATATAGATATTACAAAAAAAATAATGAAGTAAATTCACCTTTCTTCTTTCAAGAGGATAGATGTGGAAAACAGTCGCAGTTCACGATTTTGTACAGAGATCAATTATAAAACTTGCTGGATTAGTTTCCAGGGGAAAATATTTACTTTAGATATCCAAGTTACGGTATACAGTGAGAATAAATCTATTGACTCTGCCATCAGTGAACGATTGGCGTTTGACGATTATACCAGGAATACTATCAAAGGTTCTTCATGAAAGTAATCGAAAATCGAAATAAATCCGTTCAAACTTGTTTGGAAATGAATTATGTATAAAAAACTTACGACTAGTCTTTGTATACCGGCAAATATTCATCTGGATCTGACAATGATATTTGGACGTAAGACCTTAATTACAAGGAAACTAACTTATATATAATTTAATTATCAAGGACAAGGCCATACTCTTATTGATTCGAGTTATCCTAGTTGGCTTAATGGGAATTTGTGTTAATCAACTCTATTTTTAATGAATATTGTTACTTCAAACTGTCTTCGTATTTTGTACAGCCTTATAGTAGTAACTATGCAATGAGGTGACGCAGCCGGTGTTGACTTGAAAGACGTGTATACAAATAGAACGATTTATTAGCAGAAGAGCGACATATAACTTACAGTGCATTAAATAATAAATAAATAGCTGTAAGAGGCAGTGGTGGCATCACTTAAGAGTTAATTTACGACCTTTGGGTCGATGAATAATACAGTTAATGAAATAATGAAGAGATGAATGTCATTATTCACTACATGAGTAACAAATAAATTTCTGCCTCAATTAAGATAAGAACGCAGATTCAACGAAATTTAAAATCTAGCCTAGTTTAAAAACTGACATTTTGGAAGTTGCGATGAGAAATGGAACGTGTATTCATTCAACACATAAAAACGCCATCTGTTACATACGCAAGTTCACGAAGAAGCCTTGCTCAGACGAACGGAAACTGTGTTGCTGTTGGTCTCGATAATGAGCGATGTTTGCGTCCGTCTTAACGGGTGCCGACACTGAACAGCAGCTCTTAGCGCGTGAATGAGTCTGAACACTTGCTTCACCAGATTACTTCACCCGTCAGCTTGGCTTCATTCACTCCGTGCATATAAGAATATTAAAATAAGACAAGATTACATTGCAATATAAAATAAATACAAGAATATGTCTTTAAAAATTACGATCATCATAAGTAGATGCAGAATCCATACATTTAATGGTTTAAACTGAGCAAGATATGGAATGCACATGAATGATGGCAACCACTCACAGAATTGCGCCTGAAAGGAAACGCATACTGAGCACTGCCTCTCTATTTTATCCAAATTTGTCTGCACATGAGCATTGATTTTAATAATTCACATGCAAGTTCTCTTATAAACCTTTTATCCTTTTGGCAAGCAATAAATGAATGATCTTTAAGGCTACATGCATATGAAAAGGACATTAACACGAGTTATCTTCAGAAGACTGAAGTGTTGAAGGTTGAACTAACTCCCTCACAATTTACATTAAATTGTATGTAGGACTCAAATTCTTAAAGGAAATCAATATTCCAAAATTATCCATCTACATAATTTTTTTTTCTTCAAAATATCTTCATTTGACAGAAAACTGATGAAAGTAATATCACAAATTGGAATAGTACAAGTTAATACTTCCCACGTGCAGCAAATCATATTCTGAAGGCTACGTAACGTCATGACTGTGGCACGAGAAGTAACACAAGAGGAGTTAATTTGCTTTAAAAGTCACACTCGACGACTATGATGCAGAGCATGAAAAGAAATCTGTCCTAATCTCGTCATACAAGGCCTTGCAATAAAAACAATATTCAGATCTCATGTTTCGTCGAGAGAGCAAAATAAAACGTTGTCAGTGACCAACGACTAGCGCGTGACGTGATGATGCAGGTTCCATACCTCTAATGAGATCATATAAGAATATGGAGCGCGATCCGAAAATAAATAGTAGAATCTAAACAGCAAAACAATAATAAATACTATGATAAAATAACAGCTTAACTGTGAGCAATGCTCCAGAATAACTTAACAGTAAGCGCCTTCACCCGTAACGTTATTTGGTCGACACACCTTAAGGCAAGCAGCCTTGTTCAGGATTCAAGTTCTGAGCTTCTAACGGCACAAAAAAGCACAAGTCATTATAGATCGTTTTCATAGCAACGAAACCTCTTTTAAAGATTAACAGAAACCATGCGGCAATTTAATGTTTTTAAAACGGTCTGATCTGAATAATATTAAACATATCTATTTACTGTGAAAAATATTTTCGTTCAAATTGGCTGGACATTTTTCTACAGCATGATTTTGTCTTGCTTGAGGAACACTGCGAAACGTGAGCAGCTTAATAGGTCACCCATCGAACGGCGGGCCAAGATACACCATAGAAACTTCAGTGTTTCCATACACGGCTGAGACTGATGGATACAAAGTCATTTTCGTAGGAAGACCTGCAACAACAAATGTAAATAAATAATAAAATACCAGTTATGGCATTCCTGCAACATACTAATGACTAAAATGTCTGTGGTTGTGATAGTACAAAAATTTGTTTATTTTATAATTGTATACACAAAAAAATATTGCCACCATTGCGCATTTCTTTACTCCACATACTATTGATGAAGACCCTGCAATGTAACAATTTCACAATTTATTTTTCATAAATATGAGATAGATTTTGCAATGCTTTTTTTTGCAAAAACTTACCACGGAATGCAACTCCAAGAAACTCATAATTTTTTTCAAAAGATAGAGTGTTGTCTTCACAGTCTAATATTACTCTTATTCTTTCACCAACCTGAAAGTAAAGTCAGTTTGCTTAGCAGTTTAATCTGAATTGCAATTTTCTCAGGTTTCCATCTGTCAATTGAATCAATTTCATGAAAGTTCAAGTTAAGCATTTTACTCCTTTTAAATAATTTGGGTTAAGCCCGATAATTACATACTGCAATTTATATATCTACAATAATAAAACATGTGTGGTGGTACACATTGCTCTTTAAAATAAATGAATAACAATGAGCATCACAGATTAAATTCACATTGTCAATTCACTTTCATATACATCTACATCAGCTATCAATTTTAATATTCAACAAAATCAGTAGTACAATATAATAGAAATTTGGGACATGTACTTGATATTTTGGAGCATTGTTTAGAAGAGGATAGCAGCCCAGAGACTCGCCATTATGCAGCAAGTGATTATCAACCAGGTTCCAGCCCCAGGAGTGTTCATCTGATCCAAGGAGTGCTACGTAGCCTGGGCACTGCATGGGACTTTCTTCAGTAGCGATGCCCACAACTGCCACGGTTCCTAGAGGTCCTTCCCAGACCACTTCCCATGCATGTCTCCCAGCCCTGAAGCCTATTTTACTTCTTGCTCCATCTGTACTTTGAGCTACAGGGTTACGATGGAGAGTGAATTTATTGGGTTTAATGTAAACATTTCTTGAACAATCATTAGGATTCCATGCATGATAATAGGCTCTTAGTTTTGCCATGTATGTTGGAACAGATGAGAGTAAATCTGACTTCAATGCTTCTTCAGCAAGCAGATTTAGACAATGCATTCTCCATACTTCATTGTTTTCATCACTTAAATATCTGTGCCAGTTTCTACAAACCAACAAACACTGTCTCAACTGACTAACTTCAAGGTATGAGAATATAACTTCTATAATGTGATCAGGTAAGTGAGACCAGTTCTCCATTATACCTGGAAATAAGAAAAATTAATAAATAAATAAATTACTGTTCAGCATAACCAAGAGATTTATTAATTTTGATTAGGTTTATTGAATTATGTTCAAGTAAATTTACTTATCAGCTTCAACACAAGAAATATAGGTAGTAAAAATTTTGCTGGTCAGCTAGGTTTCTCACATAAGAGTAAGATCTAAATAAAATTTTCTGACATGTCAGTCAGACATATATGATTTCAACATGCAAAACTACAATTTGACGATTTGTAACAATTCTAAAATTAGGTAGTAGTAGGATAGCTTGCTTGTGCTTCAGTAATAAAGGTTTTTTGTGGTATTAAAGGTATAGTTTTATTTATTTATTTTCTATTTTCATATTTTATCATAAAGGTAATTTTTATGATAATAAAAATTGTCATTGCCAGCAAGGCAGAAGATCTCTCTATTGCTGAAAATTTTTCAAATGTTTCATCACCTGCAAGGGGTAGAAGGCCTCAAGTGTACAGCTCGCTGAATCTGGTTCAAAAGAAGCAGCATTAGCATCTCAGAGACAAAGTGGCAAGGAGGGACAGGTGAAAAAGAAATGAAGGCACTGGAGCAATAGGTTGCTTGCACATGCCATCAGCCGCACACACCATAGAGACAGAAGGGAGATTCAAGGATTCCTGCCTACATGATTGCTTAGTCCCACAACTGAGAACTGCAGTCAATTAGTGCAAGCTCAGGTGGGCTTAGGAACAATGCCCATAGCAGCATAAAATCCCATAGGACCTCTGACAAGCACAGGCAGAAGCCCCTCTTCTGAAAGGTTCCACAAATAAAATAATTTCAAAACTGTGAATAAATCAACATGAAGTTGAGAGAGAATTAAGGCAAATAAATCCTCTTAAATGATAAATATTTACTTAATTAATGCAAGAATTCAGTTTAATAAATAAAATACTTTTGTGTTCATTAGCAGTGAAAAAATTATTGAAAGAGCCTTTCAAACCCACAGTCAAAATAAGGACTCCCTGTTACGGTATAACTTGCAAGTTCATGTCACATTTGTTTTTTTTAAGCAATATACCGGTAGCCATCATATCACATTTATATATTACTTGAGCTTGAACAGCCCTCCCAGTGCTGTATTTAGCTGCATGATTTGCCTATTTCAACATGCAGCTGAAATAATTTTGATAAAGCTTCCCATCCAACTTTATGAGATACAAATTTAAAATATGCATTTAAAAATTAATTTTTAAAGACAACACTTCCAAAGAATCCAGTGTCTCCAATCTCACAAATGTACAACGAATTTCTCATTTAATTTTCAAATTAAAAATTTAGTTTTTCAATTTTTTTTAATATATAAATTTTTTAATATATAATTTTTTCAAAATTATTTATTCTGTTAATTGATTCATGCATTGCCTATTAAATTTCGATTACAAGATTTGTAGCAGACAGACAGACAGACAAGAAGTGAAGTTAAAGAGAAGTGTTATAAAAACAAAGAAAACTCCAGAAAAATTTCCCATATCTCTATTGGAAATGTTTCCAAGTCCAGCTCTATCTCTAGTTACAAAAAATCTAGAACACAAATAGTCAGAAGTTAATATGCTCAAAATTTAAATGTAAAAAATAAAAAAGGAGAAACCTAAATTTACAAATAAAAGACAGAGTAATAAAGTAAACCCTATCTATTCACAATTTTTAGCGGATAAGAGATCAAAATGGCATTTAAACTTGCCCTTTCTTTGAAAATGTATAACAATTCTAAAATATGCAGATCAGTAGTACCAGAATGGCACTGTCATAATGAGGAATGTTGCATTGTTTAGTGTGAATGTGCATAGCCAAATGAGGAGAGTGCAATAGTAACAACCCAGTCCAACAACTCCTCCCTTTATGCTCTGCAACCCTAGAATAAAGATTGTGTGACATCATCCCAAAATATGCAGATGCATATTGTGCACAACTATATTTATAAACTAGAGGCAGAAGGCACCGTCAAACGGGGTGAAAAGGGAAAGTTTTGAGCATTTTTTGTTAATACCTTCTTACCATGAAACATTTCAGAAACAAGTTTAGGCTCATATTATAGCTCTTTGAGAGGGCTATTGAATGGCATCTTCAAAAAAATTCCATGTGGTATTTGTAAGGCGTTAGATGCAATATAAAAGGCTCCTGAATTAATCTTGAAATGGGGTAAAAAGGGACACTTGAAATAAAACTCAATTTCAAACATTTGAAGCACGCAGAGTGTACTCCTCTATTACCAACAGTACTCTGAAGTCCTCCTCTTTCATTGTAGATGATGTAGATATAAAATAAATGATATTTTCTGTGATTTTTACTTGTTTTTCCTTTATTGATATGATATTACCATATTCATTAATTACCGTATTATTAATGTGATATTACTGTATCCATGGACATGCCATTGAGCATTAACAAGAACCTTGTCCACTGCAAGCTTCATATCAGCAGCCATGTAGAATTTCTTCTGTATCTGTAAGCTTACAGGATGGTTTGTAATTTTGCACAATTTTAATTGAGTCTAGTGATTTCACTATAACAAAAAAGATTGAGAAAAACATACCTGAAACAGAAAATAATGTTTTACTGACAACCATCATATGTTTTGAAGAAATAAATCGCAGTTTAGATCAATTACTTTTCATTCAATGATGCCCGGTGCACAATTCTATATATAGCATTCTTTGTACAATTTTGTGACGTCCGATGATGCACTAACTTTTCGATAAGTGAATTTTTTTCGCCGAGCAAGGTAAATTTAATCAAAATTCTTTGTTGTTAATCAATTTTTTTGTTAACTGGAGGCTTTGCTAACTGAGGTTCTACTGTGAATGCATTTTTAAGGGTGTCCCCAATTACCCCGGGAGGGGGTCCCTTTTTACCCCCTTGCGCGGAAATGGCTGCCATTTTTTTTGGAATGAGATAGGCAAATTCTGTCAATTACGTTTTCAAGCCAACACCTGGGTACAACTTTTATGTAAGTAAAATTTTTCAATACGGCAAATATTTTTTTTGCTCCAAACTTTAGCAGAGGTACTTTTCCAAAATCACACTTTTCATACTTTTTTTCAGCTATTTTTTTAGAGATAGTAAATGTTTGATTTCTTGACTAGCTTTATACATAATAAATAGTAAAAATGTTGAAGTTTACGCCACTATTTTTAGTTTTGCAATATTTGAATACTTTAGCTGCTACAACATTTCTACAAGATGTGGGACGCGCGTCCCTATTTACCCCGCCCGTCCCTTTTTACCCCGTTTGACAGTAATTTTTTACACTGTGCTGATTTTTCATTTTTATAGAAAGATATTAGGCAAAGGCAATAACAATTTCTGCAATCATGGGCATTTTTGTCTCATCCATGAGTGCCCTCTGCCCAATTTCCAAAAATGGTCAGCAACCACAATGACTTCTAAATACCTATTCCTACATATTTTTAAAGATGTGAACCAGGGGCTCAAGATTTTTTTGCCTCTGCTTACAAATAGGTCTCTGCTTATGAACTGATTTTCAGCTTAGCTTACTAAGCCATTCTCTATTGTTCACAGCATTCATTTTTACTCTTATAATTTGGCCACTTCCTCCGAGTATGTGATTGCTGCAACATCTTTGATATTATACATCCATAGCTCTTTTGCTTCTTGTTGTTATGCTTTACTTAAAACACTTTATACTTTTTTAAAACACTTTTACTTTATTTCGTTTTTATTTTACATATTAATTCTATTTATTTATTCTATATTGACAGAGCTGGGCAGCACTATTTTGAAATGTAGCGGCCACTACCGCTACATGCTCTAAATGTAGCAGGCAATCCCTAAATTACTAAATGTTGTTCATTATCAGTTATAGAATGGTTGCCTCAAGTTAATCACTAAATTTAGGCATGATGGATTGTAACCTGCTTTGCATCATAGTCACATTATGTGCAGTCTCTTTCATTTGTAATTTTTACATCTTTCAGCTGTCTGAGGACCTTATGCGCCATTGCCCTTCCTGTGCTCCCTACTCCATATCACTAGTTACCAAACACTAAGTTACAATAGTCCCAAAGCACTATAAGCAATATCGTCTCAATACATTTCTTGGCATGTCAGTTGTATTTTAAAATCCCCTAATAAAACACAACTCTTTTGGCAACTCTTTACTTACACCATTATTAGACTAATTCAGCTTCAGTTAAGTGGGTTACAAGTTAATCTTCCCGCGGTTGACACGGGAACAACTCTGCTTGAGACCAGATATTGTGTCATTTCATTCTCATAATTTTTATAAATGGTTTCAAGTTCAGAATTGCGCATTTGAAGACTGCATTTGATAGGAAACAATCTATACTGATGCCTGGTAAAATAATCACGGCATGTTTAAGATGGAAGGCATATAAAAATACTTAACAGAAGGGAGGGCAGAAATTATTGCACACAAAGTATTAGCAAGAACCAACAACCTGAGGATATTTTGGTTAAAAATTAGCAGTAGTTTTACTGTAGCACAGGTATTGTTTTTCCCAATAAATCCAGCAGCATAGCTGGATGTATGGTAACCAAAACAAACTACCAATATGCCCCCCTTTTGGACATACACAAAAATGTCCTTTGAACAGCCTCTTGGAACAGAACCTGTTCATAAGTATGAACGCATTCAAGAACAGACTAGATAATGCTATGGAAAAATATATGTTCAGATTTGAAATGCCTAGCACCTTATCAAACTCAGTGGAAGTCTAGTAGCTACTTCAAACTATCGTCAGTCATGAAAAAATCCAGTCAAATGACACGATTTTAGATCTTCTGTGAACAAGGCACAAAAAGGAAAAGAATCGGCAACAGGCCACATCAGGCCTACACTGCAGCGCCGAGATCACTATGTTACGTTATGTTGTAACCTGGGAACTCCCTGTAATAGGGCAACAAGGATGACTTCTAGTATAATGCAGCATGCCATTTTTTGCTCTTACATTAATTTCAATGAGAAATATTTCCATATATAAAGATTTCCTCATGCCAACCCATTCAAAGAAAAAATCCAGTTTGTATGTATGGCACCTGTACTTTTCAACTCTAGATCCACAATGTAAAATATGGCCTTTTAGTTCAAGGTATCAAGCTCTATTAAATCTCTTCATCAAGCTACTTGCTCTCAAATAGATGTCTATCACTGATCAAACTATTTATTTATCAATCAATACCACTGTCACCACATGGAGTTGTTGATTGATCAATCATCACAGCTGTCATTGTGTCAAATTGATTAATTGACAACATCACCACATAGATCCATCAATCAACACCACCATCACTGTGTGTATTGGTCTATCAGCACTGCCATCACAACATGTACCGGATCAATCAATCAGCACTGCCGTCACAATGTGTACCAATCAATCAACACCGCAGTGAGCAGTCACTGTGGTGTGTGGCAATGGATCAACATCCCCATCACTTTGTGGATCAATTGAAGCAGTCACCACGTGCTTCTCCCACCTTTTTTAATTGCTTGTATGTGTCACAGCAATTATAATGCACACAAGTCCTTGCCAATCATTTTTATCTACCATTTCTGTCTTTTGAAAAGTACAATTGGCAACCACCATCTGCCTTGATTGTACTTCAGCATCTTTGGCACAGTGAATTCAATGTCCCTGACACACAGGAGTTAGACAAAATAAGAGAAATGCCTGACATTTTGATATCATAATTTCTGAACATGTTAAAACAATGAAAATGTAATATATTTTTATGTTTTAGTGTTTATTGCAGCTGCTTAATTGACATTTTATTCTTGCACAAATGATTTTAATACATTTCTGTGTCTATAACCTAACATAACTTATAAATGGCAAACCTCTCTGACTTTCAAAGAGGCCAAATTGTTGGTGCCCATATAACAGGTGCTAGTGTGACAGAAA